AACAACAACAACAACAACAAAAACAAACAAACACACAATCAAATAAATAAAAAATTATCATACAAAGGATGCGCCGTACAACTACTGCTGTTACAGGCATTGCTTTTCATATCCTTACCCATTTCTTCCCCTTCGTTCCCCAGCCAACATCTATACTGATATAACAGATGTAGACGGGGCGGGGTGGGTGGTAAACGCACCAGTATGGTACAAACGCAGGCCATAGTTCGGTGCATATGAGAAAAAAAAATCCACTCTCTATCTCACTTCTGCGGCGTCTCTCTTACGCTACAACGACCACTTTACTTCTGCATTGAGATCCTCGTATATGCGAGAGGGAAGTGGGAACGTGACCAGTAGGTCCGTCTCTGACGCGCCGTTAATCCAGTGCACCACCTTTCGTTCCGCATCTGCGAGCGACAGTACCAACACTGAGTTCCCTTCATCGTCGAGCGGCTCCAGCTCAAAGTCCTCGAGAGCCAGTGTCTGCCCGGGCACCTCTAGAGCGCGGGCCAGGGCCTCCTCGCTGTTGAGCGCGTGCCGCGTGCGCGCATCGATGGCCAGAGCGCCCACCGCCACTTTACTACCACCAATATAATCCTCAGGCAGTTTGACGTGCTTTCCCATCGAATCAGTAGCTTCTGTTTGTGCCAGAGCTCCGTGAACTGCTTCGCCAATGGATTCCCCGGGTGCGATATTGGCGTGTACGACCCTTGGCCCGAATGTACATAGCGTGACGGGCATCCCACTCACAACGCGATAGTCAACTCGGCGTCGTATATCGGCGAGGTCGTCCTTGCCGTCTTCCTCAGCTGTTGAGGTGTCACGCACCAGCACCACTGACCCGTTGAAGTGCGGCATTGCGAGGTGCAAGCTGCGTACAAGCGGACAGAATGCCTCGCTGTAGGAGGCGAATATGACGATAGGCAACTGCATCAGTTCATTATACACAGTGCCGAATTTAGTGTCAACATCTGGACCCGTGGGGCGTTCCACATACATTGGTGTGGGGAAGAGCTCCTTGAGAAAACTCTGCAGCTGTTTGCCGCTGTTTTCTGTACTGAAACCATCGTTAATATTGAAGAAAAATGGTTTACTTTCCTTTAGGCTCTCCATCAGCTTCTTGTTTTTCTCCAGATCATCAACAAACTTTGCGTAGATTGCCTGTGACGCCGGACGCCGCAGCAGCGTAGCCGGGGCGCAGGCATCCACGTTGTCTAGCTCAACGTGCAACGGCAGCGGCGGCGGGGGCGGGGACGCCGTTGCGTTATCTGCGTTTCGGCTTAACTTCAGTGCGGCGAGGTAAGGTAGAAAGTGTGGCGAGCTCTGCCACGGGCGTGCCATGATGAAACCGTTATATACAAACGGCGTAAAAAAATCACGTGCCTTGCGCGCGCGGTGGAGTAGAGTGTTTCTCGCTATCTCCCGCTCAAACCGCGTGTTAAGGAACTCGAACATGCGTGTGCAGTACACGAATGGTGCGTGTGTGGCGAAGAAGCGTGGCCGCTGCGGCACTGCCTTGGGCGGGAGATCCGGTAGCTTGTAGTTGCGCGCCGTGTGCACGAGTCTGTCGGACGGGGCGAGGGGGATGTGCCGCATCACGCTGTAGTTGACCTCTTCCCAGCGTTTGAGGAGCGCATCTGGCAGGAAGTCTTCCGGGATGATGTCGAGGTTCAGCACGTTGAAGAGATTCGTGTGGTAGACGCCGGCAATCCACGAGCCGCCCTTGTCGGCGCGGACCGCCTTTTGCAGCATCGAGCGCTCGGTGCGCACAACAGTCCCGCCGTGTTGGTTGAGCAGATCGCTCACCTCCACATCGCTGTTGACGAAGTAGTCGTCGTTGAAGAACACATGAATCGGCGTCATGTTGCGCAGACGGAAGAGCTGCATCTCGATGGTGTGCGAGTCCACCGTGAGCCGCATGCCGTACGGCATCACGACGTCTTGGTGCACCGTCGTCACGCGCTTGTGCTGGCCGCGCGTGCCATCGGGAAGGCCCGAGGGGCAGGCGGTGCTCATGAAGTTGCGCGCGCCATCGATCCAGAGCGGGTGGTGGCCGGGCGACACGATCCGCAGCCGGCCGCGGTGCCAGCGCATGTGCTGCTCCACACTGCGCATGCTGTAGCGCAGCTCGTCGCGCTCGCGGTCGCGCGCCGACGGTGTGCCTACGTTGCCNTTTTCCATGAGGGACAGCACGTCGGCGTTGGTGTGGGCCTCAGCGAGCAGTTCCTTGCCGCGGCACCACGAGCCGTCGTTTTTGCGCGTATTGTACCACGCCGCCTCGGACTTCTGAACCGTCTCGATGCACCGCCGGACGACTGTGCGGCGGAACACGTGGTTGACCTCCGTGCCATTGACAAATGTGTAGACAAAGTCCATGTCGCCGTTCCGCTGCTCGAGCTCCGCCGGTGTGTACGTGTGTCCGCTTGTGGTTAAGCCGCCAAGCGCCGCAGCATTGCGTGGTGCCGTTTCGCCCTCGAATACGATGCGCTGCCCGTCGCCGTCCGTCGCGGGGCCATCCTTGCTGTACGCAAGTGTGCGCGAGTACCAGGTGTACGTGATGTAGCCAGCGAGTTGCACCAGCAGCAGTAGCAGAAGAAGAAAGGCCTTCTGGTAGCTGATGAAGCGTAGGTGCAAGCGGCGCTTCAGTGGCCGCCAATTCCGTCGATAGTGTGCACGTTGATCACGCATTTCAGAACTCCAGTGAACTGCACTATTTCCTTTACTTTCACTTGGGCCTGGAGAGGCCAGCCAACACTCCTTTCTTTTGTCTGTGTGCTCTTCCGCACTGTTGTTTCAGCCGCCCCTCTGTGCGTGTGATGGATCCGAATTAGCCTCCCGGTTGGTTGTGGGTCTCCGTTCCTCACTTCTACTGATTAGCGCCCCC